TGCGACGGGCCCCGTCCCAGTTCCACCACGGCCAAGCTCGTCGGGCAGCACGTCCGTTTCTGGCAGCGAGCCGCAGAGGACAGGGCTGCAGACGGAAGGCAGGTGGGTGGTCACTTCTTGAAACGGCAGCTCTCGGCGCCGGGGACGGGGGTGTGGAGGGCTCCCATGGGGCACCGGTGCCGAGAGCCGCAGGGGCTCCGCCGCCGAGGGCCTGGGAGAGTCCGGGCTGCGGAGAGGACAGCCCGGTCCCAGCAAGAGTGGGAAGGCACAGAGACGGTGTGGGGTCCAATCCCTGGCGTGACGGAACCCCGAGAGGACCTGCCTCCGCACACCCCTCTGTCGGCCCCCCCAGCTGGCAGCGGGCAGGGCGGCGCTGGCAGGGCCACGGCCTCCACACACGGCCTGAGGCTGTCTGGACGGCCGGACTGTGACAGCTTTGTCACGTGCCGCATCCAGAGAACATGAACCCACACTGTCCAGAGCAGACAGACACTTGGGCGAGTCTTTGGAGGACTCGGTCCAAGGCGTCCCAGTGAACCCCACGTCATCGGAGGCGGGCGACAGGGCGCACGGGGGGGACGGCGGCCAGGAGCGCGGGCGGGCAGATGCGCACAGGGCAGCATCGCCTGGCCCAGGGGAGGTCAGCCACGGGCCACTGCCACTGCACACGTGGTCTGTCGTGGGGGCAACGCTCCCTGCTCCTCCGTCCCGCTCTCCGAGGTCCTGAGTGACGTGGGGACAGGGGAGTGGCCGCCGGACACGTCTCAGTGACGCCCCGGGGGTGCAGAGGCCACCACACAGACACCCTGGAGACCCCGGCTTCTCCAAGGGCGGGGGCCAGAGGGGGTGCAGGGCAGATGGTTTGGTAAAAGTCATGAAGAAACCCCGGGTCCCGCTCCAGCCCTGACCCCAGTCCTGGGGGTGGGAGGCAGCAGGGGGCTGCCAGGGTCCCTGAGTCGCCGAGTGCCCCGGAGTTAGTGCCAATGGCCAGATGGTGGGAGAAGGGACCCCTGCAGCTCGGGACACCAGGCTCGGTGGCCTCCGGGCTTGTCCTGGGGCTCGAGGGTGGCGGAGGTGGGGGCACCCAGGGGTGGGCCTGCCTGAACCCCACGCCCACAGTGGGACAGCACCCGGCTGTGAAACCCAGGCTTCGGGGCACCCCCTCCTCAGCGTTTCCTGTTCCCGAGACACAGACAGCAGCTCCCGTGGTAACGGACATTCTCCCCCTCCCACTGGGGGGGGCGTCGTATACCGGGGTTAAAGGAGACTATTTGAGTCATTTCTTTGTAGAGCCATTCCCCGTGAGTTTTATTTGGACGACAGATGGAATTTCTTGCACTTTTCCTGGAGGAAACTGGTGAGCGAGGGCCCGGGGTGGGGACAGCGGCACAGGGGAGGGACGGGAGGCCCAGGTGTGTCCGGGCCGCCAGCTCTGGGGACGCAGGGGCTTGGGAGTCGGCCCCTGCTGCCTGCCTGCCTGCCTGCCTGCCCTCCTGCGAGACCTCCTGAGGAGGCCCGTGACTCGGGGTACGAGGGGCTTTGTCCGGCCAGCCCACGGGACCTGGGGCAGGGGGAGCCAGACCCGGCCTCCCTGGCCCCCAGCGTTCGCTCTAAACAGGGGGGCAGGAGGCTGCCCCGCTGCTCCGAGGTGCCCAGCAGGGCCGGTTGGGCTCGGGTGTGGTGGGGTGTGGCCGCCGGGCTGAGCCCGGGTGGGCGTCTCGCCTGGTGGGGGGGTGGAGCGGGAGGGAGGGGGGCTCTGCGGGACGGTGTGCCACGCCCCACTCCACGGGGACAGGGACCTTCCCCGGAGAGGAAGACCACAGGAGCTTTTCCCGGAGGTTTCTGTTCCTTAAAAATAACCAACTCAAGGTGGTCAATACCCCAAGGAGGTGCATTTTGGGGTGTCGGACACCTGCCCCCTTCTCGTCCTCACTGCCCCCCCGGGTTTCTGTCACAGGTGACAGGCGGCCTGCACAGGGGCCGCAGACAGCTGCAGGGCCCGGGGCCCGGGCTCGGGCGCCTCGGACTCGGGAAACGCAGAAGCACGCGCTCTCACCGTGGTTGCGGGGCAGCACCAGCCACAGGAGGGAGCTCGGAGCACCCTGTCCTCGCGTCCCTCGTGCTCCCTTCACGGGGTGGCGGGGCATCGCGGGGGTCCTCGGTCTGACCTCACCTGTGGGGCCTGACCTCGCCCCCTCAGTGGCCCGGTGCCTGCTTTCAGCTTCCAACTCCTTCCGGGACTCCCTGCTGGAGCTGCAGCTGGGGTGTCGGGAAAGCCCCCTTCGCTCCCCATAGACAACAGCTGGTCCTGGCCCCGCCCCCTCGCTCTGGGGGCTGGGGCTCCCACGCTGATGCGGGCATCGCTCCCCCACCCGTGCGCCCGGCTGAGCCACCCCCCCGCTGCCGCCAGCGCGATGTCCCTGGAAGGACCTCCTTACTTTCTCCTGAGAGACTCTAACCCCCACCCCTACCCCCACCCCGACGCCTTCAGGACGAAGCCCACACTTGCTGCTCCGACCATTCCATTGTCCGCCTCTGGGGACGCTTTCCGGCACTTTCCGCGGCGCGCACACTCTCTCTCTGCCTGGAACCCCCGGCTGCCTCCTCGTTCCTCGGCTACCAACGCGGAGGTCGCCTCCTCTCCCGGGGAAGTTTCCCGACACCCTGGGCGGGGGGCTGGGGCCTCTGTTCCGGTCCCACGGCACCCTGCGTGCGGTAGCGCCCCGCCTGTCTCCCAGCCCCCACGAGGCCCAGCTCCTCCCGAGCGCGGGAGGGGCCATGGCCCCCTGCTCTGGCCGCGCGCCACCCAGGGCCCGGCTCCGCGGCCTCCGAGGTGGTGGGATTTAAGGAGAGGACAGAGACAGCCCCGGGGAGGCCCACTCACGTCTGATTTTGCTCAAGACCTGTCCTCTCTTCATCCCCACATCCCCTGTGGGTCCCAAAGCCGATGGATCCGTCACGAGGCCGTGCGGTCACCCGCTGGACACTGTTGGTGCCTGACGCTTGCTGCTGTCCCCTCCGGGTGCCCGGAAATCCCGCATTGCTGCCGAGCCACGGCCGTTTGCAACAAATCAGTGATTCATCAATGTCGCCCAATTTCTTGAACGTTTTTTCCCCGTTGGAGTTGGCTCATCCCAGCCCCTGAGGAGCCGGGAATAGAGGAGTTGGTTAAATCACGATGATTACATTGTGAGACCCCGACTTTTTGTGGACAAGCATGTTCACTGTGGGGTGCGCTGGGAGCACCTTGGACTTCTTCCCCGGCCACACGTGTCATTTAGGGAGGTGACGCACAAGGCCACGCTAACCTTTGGGATGTGAGAGGTGTGGAGGCGTGCCCCCCAAAAACGTGGGTGGAAGAGGAAGCTCAGGCCAGCCCTTGGCACAGGGGGAGCCCCGTGTCGTCGGAGGGGTTGCACGTGGACGCCGGACGGACTCAGATGTTCGCTGGGGGCTGGTCACCGCCACCTTCCACACAGCGTGGTTGTGACGTGTGCTTTGATGAGCGTTGGCTTCCTTTGCCTCATGAGGCGTTGGAAGGGACCTTTCATTCGCCTTTCCAGAACTTTCTCTGTCTCTTTCCCACCTTCCCTGCTGCCTCGGGAGGCTGGAGGCGATGGACTGCACCCTGCTCCCTCGCCCTTTTGTGCTCACGACCTTGGAATGTCCTTGCTGAGCTTCTGCCCGGGTTGCAGATGAGGAGACTCCGGGGCACTGTCACTGTCCCCATCAGGTGGCCTGGGGGGACTCACGACGACAAAGCCAGGCGCGGCCAGCTCTCTGACCCCAGAGTGCCGTTCCTACCCCCCCGCCCCCGCCGCAGCCCCCCGCCGGGGCCTGTCCTGTGCGCCGACACCTGAGCCACGTCTGAGGGCAGCTGTGGGGCCCCTCTGTTCGCAGCGAGCGGGTGTCCGGAGCTGAAACAGCCGTTCCGATGGGACAGATCACGCCGGAAACGTCACCCCTCTCAGGCAGGCGCCCACAGGAACCCCGAGGCCATTCTGGGGGGTCGCTGGCGACGCCAGGGTGTGGGGGGCCCCGGCCGGCACCGAGAGTCAGCTCTGAGCCTGCCGAGCACACGGGAACCGGGGACGTGGGAGCCGGGAGCAGGTGGACACCGTGCGACCAAGAGCCGCGCCCCCCTCCCGGGGTCACAGCCTCAGAGCAGGGAGGGCTCAGGCCACACGTTACTCAAGGCCACCAGGCCCAGGGCGGCAGAGCCAGAAGCCTCCAGCTCAGGAAGTCTCCCCCCTCACCGGGACCGGTGGGGCCGAGGAGCAGCCCCTGGAGGTCGCCCCCTGCCCCGAGTCAGGCTCCTGCCGTGCCCCCTAGCGAGCTCTGTGAGAGCCCCCCAGGCTTGTCTCGGCCCAGGGCGCGTCCCGATGGGGCTGTGCACTGGGAGAGTGCGCCTGTACGTGCAGCTCTCTGAGTCCCACTCCCCCCCCCCCCCCGCCGCAGGGCCCTGGTGGCTCCCCAGGCAGCCCCGAGAAGCAGGGCGGGCGAGCTCACCCACCTGCCGACACGGCGGTCCCTGCTGGGTGCTGCTGGGTGCTGCTGGGACACCCGGTTCGAGGACAGGACTGCAGCTGTGTCTTTGGGTGGGGCCCCGAGCTCTGGAGTTCCAGGAGCAGAGGCCCGAGTCATCCCTGTCCCAGACCTGCCGACCCCCTGCCCCTGGCGCCGTGCGGGGGACGCCTTTCTACCAGTCGTGTCCCCGGGGGAGCAAGGAACGGGCACTCCCTGTCTGTCCAAGACAGCACTGAGCATGCTCCGTGCCGCTACCTCCTGACGCGGGAACACCTCCTCTCGCAGTATCGTCTGCCGGCGGGGGGCGGGGGGAGGGCAGTGAGGGAGGGGCCAGCTTTGGGGTTCACCCACGTGAGGGCACACCTACCTTGGCCCCCAGTGCCACCCGCATTCACAGAGTGAGCCAGTGCAGTCCCGCCACTTAGGGGGCAGTGCACACAGACATGCCGAAGCCATGACACGTGCACCGTGGCTACCGTTCCAGAGTGTTTTATTTGTGGCACGAAAAGACACGCGTGTGGAGACGGCGAGGTCTGGGAGCCCTTGGCCGGTGCCCCCGCCGCCCGCCCGGGAAGGGTGAGTGACGTCCGTCAGGCACCGCAGAGCCCAGCGCCCGTGCTGCCGAGATGGTCCCGGAGGTCCCCCGCGTCTGACCACGCCGGTGGCCTCGCTGGGAAGGGGGCTTCCCCCCGAGAGAGCTGCCTTCCAGGTCTCCGGAGCTCTGTTTGGGGGGCGCTGTGAGAACCCGCCGCGGCCTCTGTCCTCATCAATACCGGTGACTGCGGGCCGCCCGACCAGGAGACCGCCACGCGGTACGGGGGGGACCCTGGCCTGCTGGGCAGACGTGTCGACACCTTTTCCTTTTTTTTTCAAATCATGAGACCTCAGCCCATCTTGGGCCTGCCGCGGCGACACCCAGCGTCCCCGGCCCTGGCCCCGTGGGGGATGGGCAAGGCCCCCAGGGCTCCACGCTCAGCCCCCCCAGGGGGAGGGTCATGCCGCTTCACAGCCCCCCACCCCCCAGCCCTGGGGACGGCTGTCAGGCGGGGTGCCGACCGCCCCCTGCAGGGCCCTGCGGGTCTCAGCGGCGCTGCCTTGGCGGGGCTCAGAGCGCCCCCTCCCGCCCCCATCTCTCTGCGCCGTGTGAGTGTCATTCCGGGCGGTCACCGCCGGCTTCTGGAGCCTCAGTGGGTCAGATCCCCATGGCCGGTCTGCTGTCCCCCCTGCACCCTCCAGGCTCCCGGCCGAGGCCCTGCAGGAACAAGACCTCAGGCTTCCCTGCGCCGCAGTGCACGGCCCTTCCATCCCCGTCTTCCCCCAGAGTGCGAGCGCGAAGACCTGGGTGGGGCTGGCCCCTCGGCGGCACGTGGACACAGTCTCAGCGGCCCCCAGCGGCCTGCCAGCGAGGACCGTTGATTGGCAACTTTAAATAGAGGCAGAATAACACGTTTCCTTGGCACAGGAGCCCCGCAGCCGGGGCAGCGAGCACGCGGGCGCCTCCCCCCGAACCGTGGGCGGGACCAGAAACCAGCAGCGGGGTCTGGCTGCAGGCAGGAAGGGTGCCACGTCCTGGTGCCCCGGCCGCGTGGCGTCCGGGGGCTGGGGTGGTGGGCGTCCGGCGGGGGCGTTCCTGCCGCGGTCCCGTCGTCCTCCCGGCGGGTCACACAAGCAAGGGCACCTGCAGGGGAGAGGCAGCCCCGGTTACTCAGGGTCTGTGGGAAGCTGTGGGTGCAGGCGTCTGGGGGCCGAGGGGTGCACACACCGGTGATGGCTGCATCCCTGGCCCGACACACTGAGTGTTTTTTTCACCCCCACCTGACGAGGTGCTGTCCCTGATTTTAGAGAGAGGAAAGGGGGAGGGAGAGAGAGAGAGAGAGGGAGAGACGTTGACGTGAGACAGAAACATCAGTCCGTTGCCTTCTGCAGGCACCACGACCGGGGATCAAACCCAGGACCTAGGGTCATGCTCTGACCGGGGATCGAACCTGCGACCTGCTGGTGTACGGGATGCCGCTCCGAGCACTGAGCCGCCCGGCCGGGGCCAAACACCGACGGCTCTCGGCCCTGGTCCCCATCCCCCTCACGGGCCGGAGGAGAGATCGCAGAAGCAACCCGCTCGGCCGCTCCCGGTGCCCGGCCGCGGCGGCATCCGGAGAGACACCCGGACGCCCAGGGGTGCCGTGGAAGTCGGGGCGCGTTAGAGAGCAGCAGTGATCGAGGGCGAAAGGACCTGGTGTCCCAGGTCACACACTCATGCTGGTCGCCCAGGCCTGGCTCTCAGGCCCAGGGCACCTTGAAAAGGGTTCGGGCGTCAGGGCCTCAGACAGGCCGCGCCCGTGTTCACTTGCCAGGCCTCTGTGTCCAGGATGGGGGTGCGGGGGGGTCACACACACACTCCGACTGTTTCCGAGGAGCAGTGAGGACGTGACGTGCACTCCTGGACGCCGCTGGGGGCGGCCAGACCCCAGCTGAGGTGGTGGGGAGGTTGGCCTGGCCTCCGCCCCTCTCACCCAGGTGTCCTGCCACCGGCCTGGGGTCCAGACCCGCCCATCCCCATCCGCGCCTGCACCATCACCGGGTGCCCAGCCGGCCCTTCTCCGGCCACTGTCCTTGCGTCCCCCCCCCACCCCCCGATCACTTCCTTTCCCGAAGCACCAACAACGTTCTCCGTTCTATCCAACAATCCCCAGCTGATTCCCCGCTTTCTGGGAGGTGCAGGGCGCGTGCTCCGAGAGAGGGGCAGCCCGAGGCGGCCGGTCGCAGTGCCGGCCCCTTGCTGGCACGCCCACGCCCCCCCAGCCCCGGGGTCCTGGGGACACCTGCAAGGTGGAGAGAGAAACGTCTCCTTTGAAAAGCTCAAACGTCACTCAGTGCGGCAGCGACATGGGTGAGCAGCAACCGTGTTCGCTGTTACTCAAAGGCTACTCAGAGCTCCGGCGACAAACCGGAGTGGGAAGTCACTCAGTCAATACTCGAAACTTGCAGGGGTGCAGGCTCAAGCCCCCCAAACCTGACTGTGGCTGCCGATGTCCCACGGGTTTCCCTTGGAGAAACGGTGTCAAAGGCAGTGGGCAAGGTCCCTGGGGATCCGCGGGCGGCCAGGTGGCCGCCCCTGCATGGCTCTGACCCCTGGAGAAGCACTCTGGTGGGGGGCGGGGGGTGCGGCGCACTCTCCATGTGGCCTGGCACGTGTCCGGCCGAGGGGCAGTCTTGGGACTGACCACGCAGACCCGTCTCCCTCCCAGCGCGCACGCCCCAGACTCTAGGGCCCTCATTTCTCCATGCACCCCCATTTCCTCACGTCCCCCCATTCTACGGGATAGAACTGCCTAAGTTCACCAGTAGAAACTTAAAACTAAAACATGCAAAAACCTAGAAGCTGTCAGTAATTTCCAACTGGGCCCCCCCCCCCACAGGGAGCGTGTGAAGTCTGCCACCCCCGCCCCACCCACGCCATCCGTCAGAGTCACTTCCCACCCCCAGCGCCCTGACCTGGGGGCGGGGGGGCCGAGCTCCCGGGGACGGGGCTGCGTCCCTGCTGTGCGATGTCTCAGGCCGCACCGAGGGCCACGCACAGCCGTGGACGCCTCAGTGTCACAACAGACAAGCCCTGGGGACTCCAGGGCCGCGAGGGACAGTGGGTGTTCAGGCTGTGCCCACGCCGGGAATGTGGGGGCACCTCCGGCTTCGGCGAGGTCTGCCCGCAGGGACGGGGGCCCCCACTCTGTCCTCCGAGTGGGGAGCAGCGGCCTTTCGGGCAGGGCTGGCAGGCCTGTGTGACAGCGGCCCCCGCCCTGCGGGCCGCCCGCCCCGACAGGCACGCAGCAGAGGGACTGCCTGCTTGCACGTGCTCCCTGTGCCCGAGCTGAGCCCCACGTGGGTCCCCGGTCCTCTGAGCCCACTGACTTTCCTGGGAGACGAGGACGACATCGCAGGGGCCTCCCCTGCAGGGCCGTGCGGCAGCATCGGCCTAGGGTCCCGGCCTGGGGGCTCAGAAAACCACACCGGCCGGCCGCCGCCCTGCAGTCGGCCCGAGTGCCCAGCCCCTGGGAACAGGCGGGGAGGGAGGGTCCCCGCAGTCTCAGACTCGTCCTGAGCCGGGACAGGTCCCAGCAGCCCTGGGCCCGGGGCCCCTTTGACCTGGGGACCACGTGGCCAGGGACACACCCTCTCCGCTTCCTCCCCGGGACGAGGCGGGCGGGCAGCACAGCACAAGGCCGCGCGGTGTGTGTGCCCGGCCCACGGGCGTGAAACCAGCCGTTTCGTACACTACACAGGGGAAGAAGAAACGAGAGAAGTCACGGGGCGGCCCCCCTCGGGCTGAGGACTGCGCCGCGTGAGACGCACCTTAGATTGCCGTCCGGCACGTCCTTGGGCCTGCGGGGCCAGGGGTGATGGACATGCACAGGGGTTGGGGGCAGGACACACCGTCCCCTGCGCCCCCCGGGGCTGGTCAGGCTGACGGCCCACCGGGGGGAGGTGCGCAGCACGGGGCCCTCCGGCCAGCGCGGTGCGGGATGCAGTGCCGCCCCTCCCACCCCCACCCTCACCCCACTGCTGCCCGGGGCCCAAGGCTCTGCCTGCAGGCAGTGGCCTTTCTCCGTGTCCCTCTTGCTCCGCGGTGATGCCCACAGCACCCCTCACCTTTCTCAGCCTGGCCGCCCCTGTGCCGGAGCGGATGGCGTCCATCAAGGCCTGCCTGGCGTCCCCGGGGCTGCTGAGGGGGCTGGAGCTGGACCTGGTCGCCGTCCTGGATGCCAGGGGAGCTGGGGCGGCTGGAGGAGGTGGGGGCGGCAGTGTGGGCGGGGGCCGGCTGGCCAGGTCCTCCAGCCTCGAGGCTTCCGACCCGCTCGCGGAGCTCGCGGCCTCACGGAAGCTCCGGAGCTCTTCAGAGGCACAGGACGCCACCTGGAGAAGACGCGGTTAAGTGACAGCACCCCGAGGGTCCCCTCCAAGGGCAGCACATGGCCCTGCCCCGAGTCAGGCCAGAGGCATGTCTGCTCCCTGTCCCTGGGCTCCCCCCGTGGCCGGTGACCGAGGGCAAGCCGCAGGGTGGCAGTCCTGTCCTGCCCCACTGGGGCCTTCGGGTTCCCTGCGGCCTGGGCATGTGACAGGCCCAAGGCCACACCCCCGACCTGGCCGAGGGCCTGGGAGGACCCACCCCCTCCTCAGTGCGCAGTGTGTCCACCACGCTCTTCCTGGGGACCCCGGCCGCTCTGTGCCCCGAAGCCGCACTGGGACTCCCTCCGGGGACTCGGGAGATGCTCGGGTGGGCAGGTGGGCAGGGGGGGAAGGGAGGGAGCCTTCCTGGGCGCTCTCACCCCGGTGCAGTGACCACCCCTCCGCGCCGGTCTGGGCGGCAGCGGCGGGGGCGGGGGGCCACCGGGGGACGGCTCCCCTCGGCCGGGAAGACCCAGCACCGCCGGCACGCGCGGCCGGCCGCCCCCTCGCCTCACCTTGCGCAGGCTGCAGGCGCCGCGGTGGCCCCGGATGGCGGCCAGCAGGGCCGAGTGCTCGCTCTCCGCCTCCACGTAGGACGGCTTTTTGGGCCCTCCCTCTGCGCCGGGCTCCACCGTCTAGAACAGGAAGTGTCAACACGCGTCGCGTCACTCAGACGACGGGGACACGCGCACCAAGAGGTGGCAGGAGAGAAAACCACGGCGTCGCGCTCACGACCGACGGACCGACCGACCGTGCCGGCCTGGCATGCAGGAACGCCGGGCCTTTGCCGGGTGCCTGTCGTGCTGAGAGGCGGTAGTGACCTTGTGCTAAGTAACAGCCGCCGTGCATTTGTGGTGACATCTGAGTCTGGCCTGTGATGTCAGGTCCCTCCTGTGCCTGGCCCTGGCTTTGCAGAGCTGACAATGTGTTGTTGGGTCTTGCAGACCTGGGTCCCCACCAGCCGGCAGGGTGGCCTTGGGCCAGGTTACTGGGCCTCGCCGTGACTCAGTTTCCTCATCGAGAACCTGGAGGAGCCCTGGCTGGTGTGGCTCAGTGGAGTGGGTGCCAGCCTGCGAACCAAAGGGTCACCTCGACTGGCCAGTTCCCAGTCGGGGCACAGGCCTGGGTTGCGGGCCAGGTCCCCAGTAGGGGGCGTGCAAGAGGTAGCCACAGACTGTTGTTTCTCTCCCTCTCTTTCTCCTCCCCCTCCCCCTCTATAAACAAATAAACAAACAAATAAATAACAACAAAGAAATCAGAGGAAATCGTTCCCCAGCTTCCCCAGCTCGTCAACCTCCAAGGTGCCCGTGGACAGCGACCCTCCTGACCTCATGCTGCCCTCTGGTTTCGGAGAGACTGTTTTACTTGGTGTGACAGTGAAATGCGGTTACACCTGTAACAAGTTCAATGCCTACTGCTGTTGAAGAATGCCGGGCAGGAGGGGCCCCAGGCTGACCATGAACTCCCCCCACTGCCCGCCTCCTGCTCCCCGGACTGTTCGGGGTGCCCCGGGGTGCCCCCAGGGTGGGGGAGCCCCAAGGGCTGGTGCACAGCCCACACCACCCGCTGCCTGTCTCCGCCGGTTCCGCTCGGCCCCTCCGTGTGCGTGAGAGAGGAGCCTGGTCCCACCTACACCCCAGCGCCCCTCCCCGCCCCGAGCGGACAGGGGTGGAAGGAGGCCCCCCCGCCCTGCGCACTCACCTTGCGCAGCCTCTCCTTGCCCCCCGCCGCGTGGATGGCCTCCATGAGGGCGCTGTGCAGCGACGTGTCCTTGGGGGCCGGCCTCTGCACCACGGGCCTGAACTTCTTCTTCGGCCCAAAGATGCTGGGGGGCGGCGTGCTGTCGGGGTCCTCGATGTCCGTGCACGGCACGTCGGGCCTCTCCCCCTGCTGGAGGGCGGCGTGGCGGTCCGGGCCAGCTGTCCCGGGAGCGTGGGGAGGCTCGCCGTGGCTGGGCACCCACCCGGAGCCGTTCACCAGGGGCCCGCCGGGGGCCTGAGCGCCTCCGGAGCCGGAGAGTGGGCGCTCGGGGCCGTCCGGGGTGCGTCTGGGGTCCGGCGCCGAGCCGGTCCTGGGGACGCCCGCGCCCTGCGTTCCGCCGGGACCACGGCTCGGTCCCGCAGAATCCCGGTCCCTCTGGGCCGCCGTGACGAGAGGGACACGGGCGCCTCCGCGGGTTCCGGCCGCACAGTCCGGCGGGGACGGTTTCCCGGGGGGGCTGCCGACCTGCCCCCCTGCCGACGCTTCCCCGTTGGTGTCGGGCTGGTGGCTGCAGGGCGACCTGGCCTCCCCTTCGCGTCCGTGGGGCTCTGGGCACGGGCCACGGGGGGTGTCCCCTTCCGTGGCACGAGGCCACCCTCTCAGCTCCAGCCCCCCGTCTCCCCGGGTCTTCTCCGCGTCGTCATGCCTCCTCGCCGAGTCGGCGTGGGCCCGCGGGGTCCCCATCCGCTTGGCGATGGCCGAGGCCACGTATTGACTGGACGTCCTTCTCTGAGGCTTGAGGAATGGGACTTGGGTGGTGTGAGCTGCTGGCACCTTCACGGGACAGGTGGCTGTCGAGGGCGGTCGGCTGGGCCCCTCGGGCAGCGGCCTGCCGTCACCCTGGTGGGCGGGGGGCTGCGGGGGCGACGGTGCCGTGTGGTCCGGGGGACTGGGCTCTGCCCCGCCCCCGCCGTCCTGATGTGGAGCCTCCGCCGGGGCCGTGGGGGTGGGGGGTCCCCGGGCCGGGCTCCCCAGGGGCCGGCCAGAGCGCCTCTCCAGGGAGCCGGCCCGCCGGAGCAGTGCTTGGACGCCCCCCAGGGGCTGGGCGCCTTTCTCCAGAGCAGGTGAGGGCAGCGCCACGGTCCTGCCCCCGTTCACGTGGGGGCTCACCAGGTTCCCCAGCTCGTCGATCTTGATGGCGCCCGTGGAGAGTGACACGCCTCTGTCGTAGCACCTCCTCTCGGACTTTGGGGGGACGATTTTATACGTCGTGAGGCCGTATTTAAATCCAAAACTGCCCCCTGGGTTCTGGCCTCGCTGACACCACGACGGAGGCACCGAGATGTCCTTCTCCTCGTCACTGTCCTTCTCCTTCCGTGGCGGAGTGCTCACGGCCTCGGTGGTCCGTGCCCCCCCGCCAAGAGCAGAGCCGGGCTCCCCGCCTGTCTCCTGCGCACTGGGGGCGCGCTGGCGGAGCTGGGAAGTCACCCAGGGCTCCGCTTTGACGGGATGCGTGTCTCTGCCGGTGTCGGCCCAGGCCGCTCGGGCGTCCCTCCCGGCGTCTCGGGGAGGAGCAGCCGCACCCGACCCGCCCACCCTCTGCTGCCCACGCTGCTCCTGGGGCCCCCCTGGGGCCGGCGGCAGGTGGGCCGGCCCGCCGGCAGCACGCCCCCGGTCGAAAGACCCAGCGTTGTTGTTCCTGTTGGAAAACAGCCCGGACTCCACGGGGTCGTCCACCTCCCCGATGAAGGTCACCGGGATGGCGTCAGGGTCGGTGTCCTGCGTGCCACGCCCGGACGTGCCGTCCACGGAGCCGGCGAGAGAGCTGGTGTCCGTCTCATAGTTCTCCTCCCCGTCTGCGGAGAAGCAGAAACACGAGTGAGTCATGGACGCCCACAGATGCCGCCCGCCCCTCCACCCGCCCCGGCTGTCCTCCAGCTGGGCAGCTCCTGCTCCCGCGGGCGGGCTGCCCCCTGGGGCATCGCTGCACGGAACGTGCCCAGGAAAACCTGCATGGGGGCGCCCTTACCTTCTGGGTCCCCGTCCAGGTCCGCCCGGGCTGGCTCCAGCCGCCTGGCGGTGACAAGCAGGTCTCTGTCGTCCTCGGAGGCTGCAGCAGCGTTCTCAGCGCTAGAGGGGAGCAGAGGGGAAGCGAGGGCACGCATGTGCCTTATCACACGTGTGCCTCACGCCTCTGTAGAGACATCCGAGGGAGAGAGGGAGGGAGGGGCAGCCCCTGTTCACAGGTGTGCTGCTCCGTGCTCCCTGGACCGCCGGGTCCTCGGGGCTGCCGAGGCACAGACGGCGCGCGGTGCATGTGTGCGGTGTGTGTGGCGTGAGTGTGCATGTGCATGTGAGGTGTGTGGTGTGTGAAGGGTGTGGTGTGTGTGTGGGGGAGGTGTGTGTGCGTGCACGGAGTGTGCATGCATGGAGTGTGCATGCATGGAGTGTGTGTGCATGTGAGGTGTATGGTGTGTGAAGGGTGTGGTGTGTGTGAGTGTGTGTGCGTGTGCATGGCCCCACAGAGTGAACAGCTCGCGCCCCGTCCTGGCTCTCTTCACCCGCAGTCCCGAGTCCACCACGCTGCATGTGCACCGCCCGCCGCAGCACGGACAGGCTGACGTGCCCAGCACCTGTCAGCACAGCACCTGGCCCCGCCTCGACGGTCGTAAGGACAGAGGCCCTCCGGGGGCCAGGTGTGCAAGGGCCCGTGGCGGCCAGGCACACGTCTGCGCTGGCCCTGCACAGCCGGCGTGTCCCCAAGCCCACAAGGAGGCGCCCTCAGGTCCCGGAGCCTCCGGGGGTGGGGGCTGCAGGCTCTGGCCAGAGGCGCGGCCAGGCTCCTGGCCTCCAGGGGCGCTCGCCCCTGCAGGGTGCCACGTGGCCCAGTACGTCCCTTTCCACGTTGTTACTTTGGCCTAACGTGCACCCTGGACAGGCGACCGAGGGGACAAGGGCTGGGAGGGCCAGAGTGTGCCACCCACAAAGCCACGCTTCCTGCATTCCGGAACAGGAAGTAGAGAAACAATCACAGTGACAGCGATGACAACAGAGAGTCACGGCGGCAGCGGTGACACAGCAGTAACCGCGCCCACTCGTGCCCCGCCAGGGGCCTCCTCCCAGACCCGGCGGGAGGTGGCACTGGCCATCGCGTGTCCCGGCACCGCTCCGCACCGATTCTCTCGCTGTCACTCTCGCCAGCGGCTCGCAAGGCAGAGCGTCCCGTTGCTGCCTCTGCGCCCACAGGAGACGGAGCCAAGGGACAAGCAGGCCGGCCCGAGGTCGTGGGACTCCTAGGTCCGGGGGAGGACCGGCCAGGTCTGGCATCCAGGGCACAGCCTGGACCCAGGCCCCGGGCGTCTGGGCGGACATCCGCCAGCCTGCGCCTGCGCCTGCACTGGAGGGCTGGCCTCGCCTCGTGCATCGCCGGGACAGCAGCGCCCACGGGACAACCGCTAGGAGAGCGAGCGGGAGACCGTCTTGGCGGAGACACGCGTCTCTAGGTTCCGGCCACACGCAGAACGGAGATGTGCACTCGGCAAGTGTCCACACCAGGGGGAGAAGGTGACGGTCTTCCCCGCTGCTCGTTAGAGCCGGGGAGGACGGCGTCCGGCACGGCCCCCCGGCCCCCGGTCGGGGCGCAGGAAAGGCGCCCTGCACGGCCCCCACGCAGCAGAGCTTGTCTTCTGACAAACGCCTTTCTTCCCTGGTCGCTGGGCCCTCCGGGGAGCCAGGAAGGGGGCTTCCAGATTTCTCTCCGCTAACGTCCCCCGACGACCCAGACGAAGGGGCCGGCGGCAGACGCGTGTGCCGGCGGAGCAGTTAACAGGGGCCTCAGAGGCACGGACCGCCTGTCCTACGGCATCTGCCTTGGGCCCTGTCTCCGTGCGTCTCACCGAAGCTGTGTTTTCCTCTCTCACGGGACGGGGCAGGTTCGACACACCGAATGCAAATGTTCGACGATGCCTGTGGCGCAGGGAACGTGGGCAGCGCTGCGTAAGGCGGCGTCTGAGCCGGGGAAACCGCGCACGTGGGACACGCCGGCTCTCCGCGCAGCGTGCTTTCTGAAAGCACACTACGCAAACCCGCAGCCGCGGTTCCGCTTTAAAGCGTCTGCCTGCAGATCGGACGGTGCACAGTCACCTCGGTCGATGAGAACGGAACGACGTGAAGGGAAGTGAAAATGACCTTGACCCCTCCGCGGACGGCGGTCTCCCTGGACACACACGCGACGGGGGAGGGGACAAGGCACAGCGTGCTGACAAAAGGGCAGCGACTCAGGTGCTCGCCCGCCGCTCCTGGGTTTAACCGGGGAGCACGGGGGACACGGCCCTCGAGGAAGAAAAGTGTCACTTCCACGTCGTGAGAACGCTGGCCCACTAGTCTGCTTCGACAGTTCACCCTGAGAAGGGAGCCCCGCGGGAGGGAACACACAAACACAATGCCGTCCCTGCCTTCACGGGACGGTCTCCAGACAGGAGGGTAGGGAGTGAGCGGACCCACCGGGCGTCGGTCGGTGCCCCAGGGCGTGGCCGTCGGTCAGCATGGGGCCCGTGATGTCAACGTAGGAATACACATCGATGTCCCGCAAAGAAGAGACCGACACGTGCATGGCTGGCCCTGGACTACACGGGTTTGAAGTGCACGGGTCCACTTTGGCGCTGGTTTTGATCGGTAAGCGCACACACAGCCGGGCTGTCGTACTCCCGGGTCTCGTGTCCGTGGCTTCCGCCAACTGAGGATGGAAGCCAACATTTCCAGTTCGTGGCGGGGCGTCCTCAGAGGTGTCGGGCCAACTATGGGAACCGTTCTGTGCCGCCTTGTATCAGAAACTCCAGTGTCTTTGGATTTTGGTATCCACGGGGGAGGGGTGCATGCTGGAGACACGGAGGGGCAGCTCCGTGTTTGGAGGGTCGGAAGTTACACTCAGATTTTCAGCTGCACGGGCTGCGTGCCCTGGTCCCTCCTGCACATCGTCCAAGGGTCACCTGTGTGTCACGCACAATGACCGAGGATGCAAGAACAGCACACACCTGTGAATGGGGGTGAGGCAGCAATCTGGGCACCCACCGGCCAGCGGGCTTTGGAGAAATGGATGAATTATAGCCAATAGTTTGTCCCTTTTTTTTTTTTTAGAATCGTGTTCTTACAAAGCAGCTTGAGGGATAAAACGATCTTTTAAACAGGAAACATTTTAAATCATCCTTTGGTCCTCCACTGAAGAGCAATTCTTTTTTGCAAAGTGGCCAGAGCACCCAGGCTGGGCGGCAGAGGGGAGGGTGGGAGGGGGGAGGGGGGCCAGGGCTGGCGTCTCCCGGGCCGGCGGAGCCTGCCGTCCCTGGGCAGAGAGGTCACCTGGCTGCTGCAGCTGGCTCTTCCTGGGGCCGCGCTGGGCCACGGGCTCTGGGCCCTGGACTTCGGCATGAATGCACCGTCTGGCAAGTGCGCAGCCACTGGCACGGTCTGTGCCAGAAAAAATCTCAGGACGGAGGGATGCAGCCGGATTCGTCTCTCCTTCCTCACCCACCGCCACCGGCTTCTCCCAAGGGTTACTAATAGCCTTTCTTTCTTTCTGTTCCCTTCCTCCTTCCTTTCCTTTCCTTTCCTTTCCTTTCTCTCTCTGCCCCCCGCCCTCCCCCCCAAAGCCAGAGAGAAGCGTGCTGCCCCTGGCCACGGGCAGCGCGCTGAGGACCAGCAGCAGGGCCGAGGTCACGTCCCCGAGGGGCGGGGGGCTGGCAAGAAGCGCCAGCGTCTCTCAGCTGGAAGCGCCCGCACGGAGGCCCTCTCCGGCATCGCTCCCCAGCCCGGCTCGCTCCCCGGCCCTCAGTTACGTACGGCTCCTGTGACCCTTTGCTTTGGCTTAAGACCAAGCAAACAAAGGACAAACACGGCCCAGACATTGGATTCCGGGCTGCACACGTTGAACAAACATGGCCAGTGGCATTTTCTCACACAGGGTGTGTGACCCTGCAGAGAACAGGGTGATATTCAGGACACGGCTGCGTCGAGTATGAGGGCCAAAGGGCAACCCTGGTGAGTTTGAAACCACAGTCTGCCCCGGCTGGGACTGCATGCTCCCCTCGGGCCAGGGGACGGGGTGGGAGCCCCAGGGGGCGCGGGCCCGATCGCCTCAGCAGTCACATGCACCGGGGGCAGCTGCTCAAGTCGGTGCCGGGGAAAATAGGTGCTTTTTGGTTGGGTTCGGTTTCATGTTCTATGAGAAGGGGGTGGGGAGGAGCCTGGGCTAATGAGGACCCATTCGGTCATCCTCCTGGTTGACGTGGCTGGAAGAGTTTCTTTAAGTAATTTATCCAACGGCAACATCACGGGAGGAAAAAGAGTCGGGAGAGAAAAAGATGCCCCTCTCAGGTGGCGATACCACAAGCAGATGCCGACAAAGCCAACGCACAGGGTTTCAGAACAAGGACCGGATAAACCGCAGGCGAGAAGCCGGGGAGAAGACACAGCTGACAACGGCCTGTCTGTGCCGCCGCCCCTTCCGCCAGCGGGCGGCCTGTGGTGACAGAGCCCCACGGAGCTCCAGGGCTCCGTGCCCCAGAGGGACGCAATGTGACCCGCCAGTGCGACCCCAGAGCTCCCCGGAGCCCCACCGACCGAGGCAGAAGTAGGTGAGACCGACTGCAGAGAGATTCCTTATTCAGCTTCAATTAGCGCACCTTATTTAACTCAGCTTTAACCCTAATTATTTCCACCATGTCTACGTGTAATTACTATAAAATTGCTTTTTGTCCTCGGGCTACATTTGGAGCGTGGCTCACACTCGCGGCACATCCCGCTGTGGGCGGGGCCACGTGGCAGGCGCTCGCGGCCAAGATGTGACCAGGGGCCACCGTCCTGCACAGCTTCATTCTCCTGGGTCTCTGTAAATGTGGTTACAAAGTTTCCGGGTCTTCGGAGGTGTTAAAATGTTCCTGAATGTTCCCATGGGCCCAAAGTTTCCATAGTTACAATGTTTCAGGGCTCTGGATGGCATAAAGTGTTTCCAAAGTAAGTTCCTACAGTTACAAAGTTTCGGGGCTCTGGAGGCTGTAACATGTTTCTGAAGGTTCCTGAGGCCGGAGCTCCTACTGGTGCAAACGACCAGGGCTCCGGCTAGGACCTGAAACCATGACCCTGAGGGCCACAGCACTCTCTCGCTCCCCCAGCCATCGCATCCACAGCTCCCTGACAAGTGGGGCCCAGAAGGAACCCCAGGGGTGTCCCGGCAGAGAGCAATGCAGGGAGGGGCCCGCCACCGGGACACCTGCTGTCTCCTGTGGCTCTGCACGGCCTCTCTGAGACCCTGCTGCCCCACACGGGGCCCGAAGCCCACTGACCCCACTTCCCTCACCGCCCCCCCCGCCGTGTGGCGCCCCTACAAGGGAGCCCCACCAACGCTGCCATCGGGGGAGCAGCAGCCCTGACAGAGGGGTCCCTCTGCAGCACCCATACGGGACAGGAGCCGGGAGTTTTGCCCCGGGACTGCAGAGGCTAAGGAGGATGCTTTCGGCTGAGCAGGAGGGAGCTCTGGAGGAAATAGTGCTGGCCTCCAGTTTGTCAACCGGCAGCCCCAGGCCGCCCTAGACGAGGACGTCTGCAGGACTGTGCCGCGCACGGGGTGCAGAGGAAGGAGAAGCACCCACACACGCGGGCACTTCACCGTGTGGACCTCATGAACACGGTCTTCTCAGGCCCCGGAGGGTCTTACCCGTCCCCAACAGAACTCGGCGGATTCCCGAGGACCAGGAGGGCGGCAACAGTGTCGGGCCCTCGGGCAACGCGGCAGCCCACGGGCACTGCTCAGTCCACCGGGACTGGCCGCACAGGGCGGTTCTGCAAGCCCAGGGGTCTGAGACCGCCGGGGACGGCTTCACCACCTCAGAACCCACTCCCCCAGAGAGGCCCAGCCTCACCAGTCATGGCAAACAACCCCCTAAGGCCTGCCGTGTGCAGGGGATGGAGAGGCGGCGTGGTCACAGGCGGGCCACGTCCTCTGGAACACGAATGGCCGTGGGAGGACTAACCGTAGAAACCGTGTAGGAGGACCGGCAGGGCAGAGCCAGGAGGCTGCAGAAGGGACCAGCAGCCGGCACCGATACAGCGGCCTGTCCCCCCCCTGCCCCCCGGGGCGGCCGTGGTGCACACACACACGTCTGGGGTGCGAGAAGAGAGCCCAGCCCGCCCCGCCCTGGGAGCGCAGGTGTCAGGGAATGCGTTCTTCGTGGCCGCCTCTCTCTCTCTCTCTCTCTGCCGCTGCCACCGCTCCCTGCACACAGTGCTGCCCCGGGCAGGGTTCCCACGGCCGCGTCCGTCCCAGCTCAGAACCGCTCTCCGCGGCGGCAGGGGCGGGGTCTGCTCCCACGCAGCATCAGCCTGCTTCGGGCCGCCAGGGCCCCCCCGGCACTGGACCTGACCGCTGACCAGTCTGGAAACCCGGAACCAGCCTGCTTGATCGGGGCTCCCCTGGACTCTGCCGGCACGCCCTCCGGCCCAGCGCTGGACAGCTCCCCAGGCCCAGCGCTGGACAGCTCCGGCCTCCCTGCTGCAGAATGGGCACGGGATTGCCCTATCTCACCGAGAGGAAGGTGCAGCGACCTCCCGGGTTCGCTTGCGAAGAAATACTTTGCAGAGCCATGTTCCCGGGGGGGGGGGGGAGCCCGAGTCACAGTGATGACACTCTGTGGCTGGACAACGGGGACGGAGGCAGGGCCGGCGCCCTCTCACAGCCCGCAGCGGGCACACTCGGGGCAGGACATGCCCAGTGCGCAGACGTGCTTCGGTTGCCAGCCTTTAGAGTTGAGGAGACCCTGAGTAACAGGGAGATCTCTGGCTTCTCCAGGTCTGTGGTCTGTTGGGGCAGCAAGGGCCGGGCGGCGGGGCTGGGGGGGAGGGGGCACCTCGGAGGGGGGGCGTGCTCTCCACAGCTGTCTCCGCGCCTCCCTCTGAGTGCGCACCCACCCCTGATGTCACACAGTGGGTTCTGCCTTCGAGGCGTCCCGAGCTTCTCTGAAAATCGTGCACTTGGACACACCTGCCTGACACACCTGCCTGACACACCTTGGTGAAGCTCCGAGTTGCTCGAGTTTGTCGGGGGAGCAACTCCCGGGAAACACACTGTGGTCATTCCGGGGGAGTCAGGGCGGGGCGTGGGGCCCAGCTCCGGGTCAGAGGACAGGACAGCGCGAGCTGGGCTGGGGGCTCGGACCGCCGTCCCCTGTGGGCAGCTGAGCTGACCCCCGACGGAGAGCGACCTGCTGAGGGTGTTCACGGTGCTCCCTTTCCCAGTGGACAGCAGTGGCAGTGACGATGGAGCCCCGAGCACGGGGGCGCGGGGGGGGGCTCACGGCCCACCGCCCCTCCGACAGGCGGGCAGCGTCCTCTGAGTGTGCGTAAGCGACACGCACAGCTCAGGGGAGTCAGGTGGGCTCTCGCGGGCCGGACAACCGGTCTGTGCCGGTGGGACTCCCCTGCGGGCAGGTGAGGGTCCGGAGCCCCCCCACACCCTGGTGCACCTGAGATGGGGGCAGAAAACCGTGCCCTGCCCCCTGCCTGGGCAAAGCAAGAGCCTGCAAAGACTCCGTCATTGTCGTGGCCGAGGCCACAGGCAGCACGAACTCTCACACGGCGGCGGAAGTCAGCTGGAGTTTACACCTCCCTGCTCCCCCACCCCGGCCCCCCGCCCCGGGGCAGCCGAGAGCGCCTGCTTAGTTCGTTTCAGATGCGGAGCGCGGTGTGGGTGGCCCCGTGCAAACCCACAGACGGGACCTGGGCTCGCGGAGAACGTGGTGTTCCTTCCCGTTCAGTGCACTGAGAAGGAAACGCGCCGTTTTCTCTGCTCTCACACAGGCAGGAGGCGCAGGCTGACCTCAGCCACGCGGCGGGGGGCGGGGAACAGGAACCCCGCTGCCAGCCAACTCCGAATCTCCTGCCTGATGAGACACGCACGTGTCCTTGGAATTGCCATTAAGACGGAAGAGCCGGGCATTAAAACTATTAGAGTGTAAAAACCAAACAAACAAACAACCGGGGAATGCCCATGACAAGCCCGTTAGGTAAAAATGAGTCAAAATAACATAATATTGATGGCAACGTTACATTAATCAGACGAACATTCTCGCTCGCCTGGACACCGGTGCAGCAAAACAGCAGAAGGGCGAAAGCCCTCATCCACGTTGGTGAGTGACTCCCGAGCTGCTTCCTATTACTCTACTTATTATTTATTCCCACTAATGCTTTCACGGCATCATGTGATTGGCTCTTAAAATTATCCAAAAGGTTAAAAAAGTCCATGGGCTATAGAGAATTAACCTGCTTTTTTTCTGAAAGAGGAAAAAAAAAAAAAAAGAACCGTGGCCGAGATGGCCGCATGGGCGGGAGCCGCGGAGCAGGGCACCGGGGCAGACGGGCGTGCGTCTGCAAACTTCACACCTGACCCGAGTGGGGCTGGGAGTCAGTGGGAGAAAGCGGGTTTCCTTTTCACATCACAGCCCAGAATAGACCGCAGGTAGACCAGAAGCCCAAATGTGAGAAAGCAGTGCTAAACTTTCACAAGAAATTCAGACAACGTTTGGTGTTTTAGGGCAGGGGACCCCAACCCCCGGGCGAGGGTCGGGTACTAGCCCGCGGGCTGTTAGGATCTGGGCCGCACAGCAGGAGGCGGGCGGCGGGCCGGCGAGCCAGCCAATCACCACCCGCATCACCACCTAGGCTCCGCCTCCTGTCTCCATTCCCCGCCCCCCCACCCCCCCGCCCGGGGAGAAACTGGCTTCCACACACCAGTCCCTGGTGCCAGAAAGGTCGGGGACCGCTGCTTCAGGGCGTGAGAAGGGTCCCTTAAATACACAGAGGACGCACCTATTTGGGGGAACGCGGACGAGGGTAACAATGCCAAAAGTAAACAGCAGTTTCTACACAGCAAGCAGAGCGTCACACCGAAGCCAGCGTCTGCAGGACTCTCCGTGTGTGACCACTGGCCAAGGGGAGATGGGCGACTGTTTCTGAAGTCACACCGCCCTTTTCTGAAGAGCCCCAAGTCTTTTCGGAAGACCGGGCTGCCCCCACGCGTGCGGCAGGCCGCCCGTCCTCACGGCCCGGGGAGCGCGAACCGGAGCCCCACGCGACGCCATCCGCCTGCCACCCCGCGGGTGGGTGCAGCCGCGGGGCGCCCCCTGCTGGGCGGGCGCACCAGCTGGTCCTCCCGGGAGCAGCGCGCCCATCACCGAGAACGTCAAGAGCCTGTTCCTCCAAGAGCCCAATCCCTTCTCCGCCGGGACACTCCCGGCGTGCAAGCAGAAGCATGTGCACACCTGGCTCCCGGCGGTGGGGACCCAGACCAGCCGCGTGCCCGCTTGTTGACAAGTAGAGTAAGTGAAGGCACAGAGGACGACGTGGGGGGCCGTGGAGAAGTCTGGGAAGCAGGGAGCTGGGTGGACGAGCACCCTGCGTGAAGGGCCCCGGGCATCGATGGACATGCGCGTGTGCACGCACACGCACACGCACACACACGCACACACACACACCACCACCACCCCTAGTTACTCACCAGTGCCTGCACACCCGGAAAGAGCAGGCCGACGTCACCGTGGGAAACAAGCCCCGGTCCCTGGGACAAGCGGCCCCTCTCCACCCCGGAGACTGGGGTGGGGCCCCCCGTCCCCAGCTGTCCCGCCACTCACCCCGAGTGCCAGGGCCCGGTGCCGTTCCTCTCCCACGTGGGGCTCTTCGCAGCGCCCGGTTCGGGGGGCCTGGCCAGGTCCTGGTCGCTGCCGTCCTCCTGGTCGGTGGCCCACTTCTCTCTGGACTTGGTGCTGTCGTGCTGGGAGCCCAGGGAGACGATGTCGGAGGGGGAGCTCACCACGCCCGAGTCCTCCGTCGTGTCCTCCGAGGCGAAGCAGCTGCCGACCGACACCGTCTCCTCGGCGTCCGGGGTGGCCGGCGGGACCCTGTCCACGCCGCCGGGCCCGCCGGGCCCCAGGGGAAGGCTCACTGCGCGGAACACGGCAAGGACACCCGTCAGCCAGCACCTGCGTGCCCGCACCACCCAGCCCGCCCGGCCGGCCCACCGGCACTTCGGGGTTGGGGTGCCAGGAAGGCAGGGGTTCAAACACACGGCTTCCTCCAGACACACCTCCACTCGGGGAGGCCCCAGGCCTACGTGTGGCGGAGAGCAAACAGCCCCCCCAAAATCACCACCCTGTGCGCTGGCCTCTCGGTCCTGTGTGGACGGACGGTGGGCACACCTTTCACGGTGCAGGCCGACCACATGGCGGAGGCATCGGTTTTCAGACCGACCCTCAGTGTCGTGGACGTTATTTTAAAACGAGTTCTCTTCTTTGAAAAGTGGGGTTTTGAAAAAATCTTAACAAATTTAGACATAAACAAATGTCTGTGTGGGAGCTTGTGACCAACAGACCAGGGGGACACCCGAACTTTGGCCTGAGACAGTGACGGCACGGCCCCCGTGGACGTCCGGCTGTCCCTCCGTGTTTCCATGGAGACAGCAAGTCTCGGCCCGGGGGAGAGACGGGCTGCAGGGGGACCTCCACGTGGGGCTGAGGGGAACCAGGACGACGGCACCCTGAGCTGCGGTGCCGGGGCCCTGAGCGCCGTGGGGCCTCCCGCCGTGGAAGCGCTGGCGTGCGCCGAGCTGCAACTCATCACCGAAGCCCCCTCCCCGCCCACAGCGACGGTGACGGTGGGGATGCCGTGGCCACTCCGCACCTCCCCCGGGCTGTTTGAAACCGTGTTCGGGACAGCGAGGTTACTGTTTTCTCTCCCACTGAGCTTCCAGGGTTTGTAAAACCTGCGGCTGGAGCGGAAACTCTTCCTGGTGCGGAAGCTGGGAGGCCGGGGTGTGTGCCCGTGTGCCCGTGTGACCGGGAGCCAGCTCCGCACCCGAGCTGCTTGTTTTAATGTCACGTAGAAATAGATTTCAAACTTTGACACCTCGGGACGCGTGACAGGAGCAGGCTCCGTCTGGGGTGGTCCCAGAAACGGGGGGTGTGCTGTGCTGCGGCCTCGCTGTGCTCTGCTGACAGACCGCCCCCCCAGTAAGTGACTGAACGCCCACGGCGTTCAGGTGACCGAGGGCCACGGCATGCCCGGCACACGCCCCACGCAACCGGCCACCGGGAGTCCAGTGACAGCAGCGGTCCGGCGGCAGCCCCGTCACACTCAACACTGCCATCGTGCCCCCGGGGCAGCAGACTGGCAACCCAGAATTAACAGAAAAATAAGAAATAAGAAAGGCCCCTGCCGCAGCTGGGGCGTCCGCGGCCCCAAGCAATGACACACAGCAGAGGACAGGGGTGCAGAGACAGACACGGCACAAAGGAGGGCTGTTCCGAGAGGCCCCGATGCGCAGGGCGATGTGTCCCGGCCCGGGGCCGCCTCCCAACAATGCCCCTTTTCTCCCGGCTCCCTTCCTGGCTTTTGTTGCGGGGCCGTAATTAGAGGGCGAAGAGGAGAAGCAGCGCTGCCCAGGGATTAGCACAGCCGGCCCTTTCCTGACAGCGGTTCGCCGAGAAGCTGTCACACCTCGGAGGGTGGCCCGCCGCTCCGGCCGGCCGTGCAGCCCGTGACTCAGCCTCCAGGCGTCACCCTCTGGCCTCCGCTCCCAGCTGCGCCCCGCCCCACCCCGCCCCGCTGTGGGCTGCTGCCCTGACGGCCGTGGAGACCCCAGTCTCCGGCCCTCCCTCCACCACTGTCCCTGGAAAGTAGGTCAACCAAAGGGACACGTTTTCTTTCTCACAGTGCGGATGAGCACCAGGTCACAGGGACCTGGCCTCAGGTCCCTGTGGAGCCGGAACGGGGGAGAGCTGCCCAGGGCGGGGAGCCTGGACCCTTGGTCTCAGGCGCACCCAGGAGAGGGGGTGGGGTGCAGCCCGCAGGACTGCGGCAGCAAGGCAGAACGGGGTTCCGATGCACCTTGCAAGGAAAGGCCCCGAGACGGAACCAGGGACACCGGTCTCCAGCCCGAGAGCCCGGGCTGTGTGGTGGCGCACAGTTCATGACGGGACAGACAGACACGCACAGACGGACGGTCCGTGGCCTACAGAAACGCCCCTCTGGGTGTGTCTGCACAGGCAGGGGCACGGCTGGCCATTCAGCGGGCACAGGGTAGACTGTTTTGGGCGTACAACGAGTGGCGTGATTACCAGAGGCCCCTCCTGCCCAGGCGAGCCCTCCATTTCTCAGGGGTAACCTCCCCTAGGGCTGGGGGACACTGCCCTTGAGCCCACCCGATAGGTGCTTAGTGAGGGCTCACCCACCCCCCACAGGCGCCTGGGCCGGGCCGGGCCTGGGGAGCTGGTGCTGGGCGGGAGAGCACCCGGGCGGAGGGCGAAGGGAGGGCAGTCCCCCGGGAATCGAAAGGGTGAGTGTGTCAGGGAGCATGTGTGTGTGTGTGAGTGCGTGTGCCTCAGGGAGCAGGGGCCCGGTGCGCTGACGTGAGCCGTGGGCGGTGGGTACACCCGGGAGGGGCATGGGGTGGCCGGCGGGGACAGCGGGGGAGGGCAGAAGGCAGGGGCGGGGCCCCCGGAGGCGCCCTGCAGGTCGGCGTTTCTTTGTGCCCTCAGCTCCGCCCGACCGAGTCTAGCTCGGAATCAGACGCCGCCCCCCCACCCCCCCAGGACCCCCCCCCCCGTCCCCTCATTATCGTCCCTCCTTTGGCCGGCCCCTATTGTTAACCCCAGGCGCCGGGACATGTTTTCACAATCGCTGACTGAGACAATGGTGTGGGGGCCTGGGGCTGTCCTCTAGACCCTGTGTCCCAGTTCCCACCCTCCGCCCCAGGGGCTCCCGTGAAGCCTCTGGAGCGGGGACCCCCGCGCCGGGCCAGCGGGGGGACAAGCGAGAGTCCGGATCCCGCCCCCTGGTCCCCGTCCTCCTCCGGACTGCGGGCAGGCCTTTCCCTTCCAGCCAAACGAGCAAGGGGGCTCTGACAGGCTGCAAACGCCCCCCCCCCCCGCCCAGAGCTGGAGCTCCACCGTCTTTGAGACCCCCGATTGGAACCTGGGTGTCCCCGTTCTCCGGACGATATTTCTGTCTTCACTGAACGTGGGAGTCGTCACTTCTGAGTCGATTAATGTGCCGGCACCGTGGCCTCCCTTAAGGTGCGAACAGCCTTTCTGAACTAAAAAGTCGTCATTGCATGAGTTTTGCCAATGTGAAACACACACTTACTTTGTCTTTAGCAGAAGCCTAATAGAAACCCGTGATGAAGTCCTTTTGCAGAGGAACAGCCACGGAGCCTGACTCGGGATACCAGCCCCCACACCGTGCTCCTCCACGCAACGTGTATGATCCCGCGGCCCAAACGCCCTCAGAGCTGCTCGTAAGCGAGACCTTGGGGGAACTCTCCGGATCAAATGGAGAGAAGGGAGGGCTAGCTCAAAGCTGCGAATGTCTCAACATGGAACTCGCTCATCTTCGGTTCAGAACTATCCCACTGAGTTTTCCTTGTGCGGAGCCCCCAAAGACCACCTCAAGCCCTAAGTGTCACTTTCTTCCGAGAGCTTTCCCACGGATTCAGGTTTTTCTTCTTATCAAATGCAAACGACAGGCCGTACATCCCATGACATCGCTTCCTTGCTGGCCATCACAAAGGACAACTTCTCCAGAGTCAGTCTGGGCAGGCGGACTCGGCCCAGAGGAAATGTGTCAGAGACAGAGTTCTTCCTCACCCTCCGCCCCACGCGGGTGCCTCAGGCCCTGCCCACCACCCGCAGCCAGCCGGAGTGCTCGCTGCTGCCCCCCCGCCACCGGGATCCAGCTCCCCGGGGTCCGGGCTCTGGGAGGAAAGGGGGCATCGAGGTGGCTGCAGAGCAACGCCCCGAACGAGGGACGCCACCCGACCCGGTGCAGATGAGCACCGCTCCTCACACACCCCCTCCCGGGGGACTCGGAACCGCCCGCTGTCCATCCCACTTCTAACTGGCATCTGGAGAGTTCCATCATGAGTTCAATTGGTGGCGACAGATGTAATTTCTACTGCGTTGTAAATATTAATTTTTAAACGGACCTTTGTTTTTAAAACATGTACTAAAAGGAATCCCAATACGATAGCACTTTGATGTCCGGAAGACTCCGTGTAACAAGGAGTGAGCTCCCCTTCGCCCAGGCAGAGTTGGGGGTGGGTGCGCTTGCACCCACGCCTGCTGCGAACGTTCTGGAGGGGGTGGGGCCGGCTCAGGGTGAGGCTTCGGGGGCCCCTCTGTCCCGGGCACCACGGCCGTTCTGCCCTGACTTGGGGCTCCAATCCCAGCTTCCTTCTTTCCCGCTGGTTCCTCAAAGTGACGCTCACCTCGTCACGCTGTTTGACACGAGGACTCTTTAGTGGGGCCCGGTTTAACCTGTTATATTACCCTCTAGCCCCAGGGGCCCGCAGCCGTGGCCCCTCACCACACTGCAGGCGGGGTCTCAGGGCGGCCCGCTCTCTATAGACCGTTGCTCTGTGTGCGTGCATGTGTAAATATAACTCTTTCCAAGAAGGCAGGACAATGAAGAACGTCAAAGAGCCCACGGATTTAAAATAGACCTGGGTTCTCTTCAGAGCCAAGGTTCTACGGTATTCTTGCTGCCCATCAGCCGGTGCTTCTCAAGCGCCTGAACCATGACTCGAACCCTAGAATCCTGAAGTGCCAACTGGACAGTCTGGGCCGGGAAGCTCCGACTCTTCACTGTCAAGCAGGGCCGGGTCCCAGCTGCTGTTCCTTTACAGACGGGTAGGAGACGGTGGCCCCGCCGGCCGCCCCACACTCCCTGCCTCCGTGTCCGTGCTGAGTGAGTCCCCCCTTTCTGCAGCCAACGCGACGCCCAGCATCCCGGTCGGTGATGAGAGGAACGGGCCCTTCCGCACATGCCCTCGCTGTCTGCTGAGGATGGAACTCGGAGCCTTGGGCGGGTCGGACTGAGGACCCGTCCGTGGGGCGGGGGAGGGGGGCACCTGCCGGGGAGAGAGCCCTTGGGCGGGGTGGCCGGCTCCC